CACACACACACACACACACACACACACACACACGTTATGATTCAGAGAAGAAGAAACTCACAGATCTTCATCTCCAGCTCTTTTTCTCAAACTCTTCTTCTCTCCTCCTGTCATCACCTTTTTCTTCTCTTCCTTTACAGTGTTTTTTGTTACCATGGAAACAAAACAGTTTGTCTCTGTGTTGGAGTGGGTGGTTGCCACGACATCGATGGCCTCACTCGGTCCACTTTTATGTCTCTTTTCTTTCTTCTTTTGTGTTTCACTGGTTTCCAGAGAGATCTCCTCGTCCGCATCTGTCTCCTTCTTCCTCTTCTTCATCTCGCTCACACTGTTTATCTCTCCATCAGCAGGAGAAAGACCAACCCCCTCTCCCTCCACAAAGGTCTTCTTCTTTTTCTTCTTCTTCTTCTTTACCTCCATCTCGCTTTTTATCCCTCCATCTGCAGGAGGCAGACCTACCCCCTCTTCCTCCACAAAGGTCTCCTTCTTTTTCTTTTTCTTCTTCTTTTTTATCTCCATCTCGCTTTTTATCTCTCCATCAGCAGGAGGAAGACCAACCTCCTCTTCCTCCACCTTTGTCTTCTCCTTCTTCTTCTTCTTCTTCTTCATCTCGCTGTTTATCTCTCCATCAGCTGGAGGACGAAGACTGGCCTCCTCTTCCTCCATTTGTCTCTTCTCTTTCTTTTTCTTCTTCTTCACTCTTCTCTCAGCTGTGTAGATGTCAACAGGAACAGGAAGTTCCTCGAGACTCTGTGATGTCCTCTTCTTCCCCTGGAGGGATGAGTTCATGACGGATGGAGAGAGGACGATGGAAGGAGGAGAAAATGATGAGTCACAGATCAATTTGTTGTTGAAGCTGAAAAAGAAGAAACAATTTCAGTGAGTTCAGATTAAAACGGATCAGGTAGGGAGGGAGGGTCGTCCTCTGATCGTCTCCCCTCTGCCAGAGTTTCCAGAGAGATCGATATATTTTCGTAAATATAGTTATACATTAGTATATGTATATAGTTATACATTAGTATATACAGTTTGTATATTGTTTTCCATATTACTCCTTTCATTTCTATTCTGCTCGTTGTTTAATGTCTTCACAGACTGACCTGGACTGACCTGGACTAACCTGGACTGTCCTGGACTGTCCTGGACTAACCTGGACTCACCCAGACTGACCTGGACTCACCCGGACTGTCCTGGACT